AGAGAGAGAGAGAGAGAGAGAGAGAGAGAGAGAGAGAGAGAGAGAGAGAGAGAGAGAGAGAGAGAGAGAGAGCTATGCAGGATGTAGTTTGTGGTATGCTTTCTTGGCTCGCTGTTTTGAGATTTCCAACCAACTCTGCCAATTTGTGCTGTTTGGCAGTGATGTTGCATGTTTTGTGGAATGCTTTTGATGATATCTTTCCTAAGAGAGGGTCACATTGAGAGAGAGAGAGAGAGAGAGAGAGAGAGAGAGAGAGAGAGAGAGAGAGAGAGAGAGAGAGAGAGAGAGAGAGAGAGAAGGAAGAGGAGCAGGTTACCAAAGGACTCACCAGTTTTGTTTAATTTTTTGCGATGATGTTGCAGGTTTTGTGGAATCCTTTTGATGATATTGTTCCAAGAGAGGATCACATCAAGAGAGAAAAGGATGAGGAGGAACAACTGGCTGCAGAAGAATCAAAGAGAAAATCTAAGAGGAAAGGCACAAAGTAAGGGCTCACAATTCTGTTGCATCGTCCTTCCTCTATTTATGTATGCCCCCTTTATGTCCCGTTTATACCCGCTGTCTGCTGCTTTACGCCCCTTTTGTGCCCCTTTATGGGTTTATATTTCCCCTGCCACCGGTAGCCCTTCATTCTCCCTTTATGCCCCCCTTTTACCCGCTTCATGCCCACTTTTATGGTGCTTTTGTGCCTCTTTTATGGCCTTATGCTCTTATGCCCCAGGGGTATGTGCCTGGTGAGGCTGGTGACCATTTTGCATTGCATTGATGATGTAGGATTAGGTAGCGAAAACGTGCGAGCGACTCCTCCTTTGGTGTATTTGTCCGTGCTCATCTGGAAAGAGAACACACCTTTCGGTGAATTCTTCTTCGTGTTAACTTGGAGATCAATGCTGTTGCATGAACTTGCATCTTCTGCTGCTGCTGTTGGTGCTGTTGCTGGTTAAAGGTGGTCATTGTATTCAAGAATTCCTGCGGGTGATAATGGCATTTTTGAAACTTTAACTGAATGTTTAAACTTTTCTGTTTGTGAATTAGCTTTGTTGATGGGATAATCACCGCGTGGTGTCATTCTTATATTCTTGGGAATGAAGGAATTTGGCACTTTTGTCATTCGGAGAGGAAGCTGCAGAGGAGGAGCAAGAGATTTCCAAAGTCGGCCACAAGATAAAAAGCAGCCATGACCTCCTTGACGATCCACGGCTGATCAAGAGCGTAGAGCTGGTTCGTCTGTCCCTCTGTGAGTGGGATCATTCCCTTTGTGTTTTTGTTTTACCCTCTTCCCCTCTCCCCCCCTCCTCCCCCACCACCTGGTTGTCGTTCTTTTTCTTGTTGGTTTCTGTTTTTCCCCAGTGGGTTGTTTCTGGGAGCGTGAACAATCATATAGCACCAGGATCGCTGCGGTTTTGTCATCCTCGATTCCTTTTTGTCCTTATTTTTTATATATAAATGATCCTTCCGCAGGCTCACCTACGGAAACCTTGTTACAACTTCTCCTTCCTCTAAATGATAAGGTTCAATGAACTTCTCACAGCACCCCCAGTGGCAAACCGCCGAGATCACCGCAATCCATAATGGAAAGTAATTGTTGGGACCACCTGCAGTAGCAAATGATGGTAAAACTGTGTGTGTGTGTGTGTGTGTGTGTGTGTGTGTGTGTGTGTGTGTGTGTGTGTGCATGGGAGGTGTGGGAGGGGAGCGAGGGGGGGGGGAAGGTAGGGGATGTGTGCATCCTTTGCCCAGATGAAGAACAGATGTGTGCAGTTTATCATCACGTAAATAAACTCTGAGTATGTCGATTTTGACCAGTCAGGAACAAAAGGAAATGGGGGAAAGAGAATTCAAAAGGAAGAAAGCCACAAAACCGAGGTAGGGGGGAACAGACGAGGAAAGGGGAAAAAGAGAAGACTCAAAAGAGTGAAAAAGCTTGGTCTTGTCAGCCTCATGGCGATCTACCTGATTGGAGTGTGGCAGAGGAGGGTGTGCTGGGCTTTTCTCTTCCCTCTTCATCATCTGCCACTGATGTCGTACTATTTATTTCTGTTTCTACTTGTCCTTACCGAACAGCGAGTTCGGACGTACTTCCACTAGGGGACTGTATTGGCAAAAGAATCTGTCTGCAATTGCGATCAGATACTGATGGGAAACTATAACTGTGGGTTGGTTCTGGAGGCGGCTGTGTGGCAGATGAGGGTGTGCTGGGCTTTTCTCTTCTCTCTTCATCATCTGCCACTGATGTCGTACTATTTATTTCTGTTACCGAACAGTGAGTTCGGATGTACTTCCACTAGGGGACTGTATTGGCGAAAGAATCTGTCTGCAATTGCGATCAGATACAGGTGGGAAACTATAACTGTGGGTAGGTTCTTACAAATGTCTCACTGATCCTGTGCTACCCATCGGTTACCCGAACCCACGGATTGCTGGCTTCTCTCACACAGGATGATGACGAGCTGCAGAGGAGGCAAGACCTGAAGTTATCGGTACGCCAAGCGCTGAAGAAAGGACAGGACAAAAATGACGAAGCAAAGGGAGGATCGTCTTGGGGCCGTGTGCCTGCTGACACTGCCAGCGACAGTGAGAAGGATAGTGCTGACGATGGCGATGGCGATGATGCTGATTTCGATGCGCGTATGAGAAGGAAGATTCTGGAAAAACGCAAGATGATGGAAGCAGGAAGAAGTAAGTAATGTCCCGGCTCACCTAATCGGGGTGGCTGGCTACTCACCGAGCAGCTTCCAACAACCAGTCCCAAAAAGGCTGATCTGACGGAGTGGCAACCTACTGTGCCCTCCCAAGAACTCTCTCTCTCTCTCTCTCTCTCTCTCTCTCTCTCTCTCTCTCTCTCTCTCTCTCTCTCTCCTCTGGTGAGTTCCTGGCTTGCAAAAGAGACAAATATCGATCTTGGCCAAACTGCTGCTTCGATCAATCAAGTTAACCTGTGGGGAAGCCAGTTGCTTGAGTTGTTGCAATGATTTCTCTGCGCGCCCCTGTGGAGGGGTGGTGTTATTTTGATATCCTTCAACTCATGTTTCTGTAGGTCGTTTATGGGGACTACCTTCTCCACCCGAACAGTATGCCTGTATTTAGGGCAACTTTCAGTCTGGATACAGCGATAAGACCAGACGTTCTATTTGGGGTAAGGAAGGTAATTGTTTCTCTTATGAAGGGTAAAGGTGTAGACTCTGTCTGAAGAAAACTCGGAAAAAATACCCATGTTTGGGAATGGAGGTCTTTTAGATCTCTTGTTGTGGTCACTTTTTTTGCCACATTTTTGAAAAAGGGGTTAGCCCCTAAAATTATTGCATTCAGCCGAGTCCATTCAGTGTTCGAACTCAGGAGTTGTTTAGCACCAGGTACATGTGTGTACGATAACCATTCATCCACATGGGGTGGGGTTTGTTGTGGTCACATTCGTCCTTGTGTAAGGATCATGTTAGTTATTTGGTATACAATAAATTTAAGTAATGATTTAATAATCATACAGATTATAAAACTACAATATATTATTGTCCTCTTCTCCCTCTCTGCCGACGGTTTACCGGGGAGTTCTGTTTGATGATATATTATATATAATGTATATGAAATGTAATGCTGTCCTACGGTCTTCACTCAAATAGAACATTAGAACATATACAGTCATCACAGCTGTATTTGGGTCGTGTTTCCAGTCTACATACAGGGATAATGACCATATGTCCGATTCGGGGGAAGATGAGTATCTCCCATACTATACAAATTTAAGACAGATGTGGCTTTTCGCCTTTTTTTTCTTCCCCCACACAACTGTTGCCGAAAGAAATGTCCTAAGAGCTGAGGTGCCTGTGGCTTCCTGTAGCTTTTTGTCCCCCCGCCCCCTCCTCCCCCCCCCCCACAACCCTTGCCAAAAGAAACGTGATACGAGCTGATGAGCTGCCTGTGGCTTTTTTTTCTGTAGCCCAGCGAAAGGCGTATAACATGCCTTTCTTTGGTTGTTTGCAGGGGGTAGCCCCTGACGTCATTACACTCATGTTACCATCCAGAAGAAACGTTATTTTATACTCGTCTGATTCCATCAGGATTCGAACTAATGACCTGTTTACTCACAGTCACATGCGTGTCGGCTGGATAGAGGACGTAACTTTTTTTTTTTTTTTTTTGTCCTGTGCCAGCAGCTGCCTGCTGCGCGTGGGGCAATGATGCAGATTGTGACGGCTACCCGGTTTGGCGTCTATTGCTGCTTGAAAACTATATATTCCAAACCCCCTCAGGGGCCAAAAGGCCGGTGAGAATTTCTGGAAGACGTCTGCAACGGCAAACTAATAAAATGCGCTAAGTTTCTGTGTGAAAAAAAAAGAGAGTCCGAGTTCCTTCGCAATGCTAGCAAGTGTCATCAACATCATCTCCACCCCCCAACCCCGCCGTTCAAGAGAACAGTCAACCGAGGGCTAAGATTGGGTACTGGGCCTTCCAAACTGAATGCCTTTGTTAGTGTGCCACCTGGACTATTCCATGTCCATGTACTGCTCCTGAACCTGGTCATCAACTGGCACACTCTTCCACGCGACACGTGTCCATTCCCCTCCATTCAAGTCCATTCAATTCCATTCAATTCCATTCAACGTCATTCGCCTCCGTTCACCCTCCAGTCAAATCCAGTCAACGCCATTCAAATCCAGTCAATGCCATTCAAGTCCATTCAATGCCATTCGACTTCCATCGACAGATTAGGTTTGCCTGCAAAGAAAAAAAAAGAAAAGTAAAAAAAGATATTGCTGCCATTTTGTAAATCTGATCTGCATACAATTGCCAATTTGCGGCATTGTACAGTTATCCCCCTTGGACGTATCAAAGGTGTGGTTATGGGGACAATCGAATGATGTAGGTGACTTTATGTATATCCGTGTTCTATTCATGGGAGAAGGCGATAACAATTCGCTGACGAGTCAGCTAGGTAGGTAGGCGTGTTTGTCTGTTTATGATGATGAAGTCTTTTGAAGCTCTGTCTTGTCTTTGTCGTTGTTTCGTCAGCACTTGTACACGTGGGGACCACCAGAGTCAGCAGAGTGGTAATTCCTCCCCAGAGCAGACCACAGAAGTACTTGATTGTTGCATCTAACTGACAATAACCCAACTCTGTTTTCTGTGTTGGCCAGAGGCGGGTGACCGTAAAGGCAACAAGAGCGGCACCAGGTCAGTCGACAGTTGTCCCCCCTTGTTGACAGACCGGGCCTATTTTCAACTTCGCAATAGGTCTCAGTTTTTTTTTGAGCCACATGAAAAAGAGTCTCAAACTGGGATACTTTTCTTCTTTCTTTCTTTCTTTCGTTGGAAGCTGGGGTACTTTTCCACGTGCACAGGCTGCCTCTTTCTTCGCGGAATGCCCCGCCGGGCAAGGTCCCGGCCTCGTCCTGGGTGGTCCCAATGCAAGAGAGGGGGGAAAAAACTGGGGAAAAAAAGAAGTTGTGTAGAATTGCAATGTGAGCAACTTTTGGCCGAAGATGAAAAAAGGACATTAAAAAAATCACCTTAAGGCACAGGAGGAGAGACGTGGTCGACTTTACTCACACCAACCCTGCAATCCTAGCAGACTGTCAGTCCTACCTAGCCCCTTACAAGAATGGCAGTAAGTCTGAGAAATTACCGTCTTCCCCCGAACATAACACGTGTTGTAAACGAATAACAACGGACAGGTTGTGTTCTATTCAAATACAACTCGTATGCATTCTATCTGAACAGGTGTTATATTCAAATACAGTGCATAATACACCGCATATGCTTTTACTCGAATCATCGATTTTTTTTCTTCGAAAACTCGAATACAACGCGTGTGCGGTATGTTCGGGGGAAGACGTTAGTCTGTCACAGCTATAAACCCCCCACTAACCCTGGGCAATGTGGTGAGTCCTTCCTTATCCATCAGTCAAAGGCATCCTGAGCAGACCTTCGGGGTTCAGCCTCCTGATGAATCAGTGAAAGTCCGACAAAACAGTCTGACACAGTCGGTGCTTTTTTTTTTTTTTTTGGAGTTGTGTAGAGTGAGCATAACAAAACCCACTCACACAAACACAAACAGGCATGCACTCAAACATGTACCATTCTCAGTTGGTACACCCGTGGACTGTTGAAACACAGACCAGAGTTCGAATCCAGAATCAACTAGACGAACAGAATAAATTATTCTGAATTACGTGGGGCCGGTTTAGTGATGATAGCTCAAGGCCATTGAAAAATAAAACACACACACAAAAAAAAATACATACCATTCAGACTGTACCCTCTTGTTTGCAAGTCTTTATTGTTCGCGGCAGGGTTGCATCCCAGCTGACCGCCCACTGTTTTGCAGCCTACCTGATACATGCTCAATTGAGCGATGTATATGGAGCCAAAGGATCTGCAAACTGACGGAAAAGGGCTCAAATGGACAATGCAGCATCAGCGAAGCATCAACAAGCAATGTACATCCAGATACATACAAAAATAGCACAAGGTAGCGCAATGGGAAGAAGAAGATGACCTGACCTGACTGACACTGACACGACCCCCATCAGACATCGCACATGTGAGAGAGAAGGGGAGGGACTGCATGCGTAGAAGAAAGGATCGTCCTTGATCACGCACATGGGAAGGAATCCACTGTTGAAGAGGAGGAAGGGGAGCAGGACGAAGATGGCAAGGAGGGAGAAGACCAAAGTCGCAACAGCGTAGTCCAAAAATAGTCTCCCTGCCGAACGTCCAATCAATGTCTGCCCTGCGATGTCGAATCAGATTCTGGGCCCGTTGCCCGACATAACCTCTGCCTGAAGTCTCTCTCTCTCTCTCTCTCACACACACACACACAGAAAGAAGAAGAAGAAGAAGAGATGGGGGGCGAGAACAGGGAGAAGAAGAAGATGTCGTCCTCCCGCTGTCTCACCTGCAGGTATCTGCTGCCGAGTACTGACAAGCTGGTCGCTGGCGGTCGATGGCGCGAAGAACAGCTACGGTGCCCAGGTAGGTCCTCCGCCGCTGCAGGTATGGCCACCGCCTCAACCTCCCTCTACCTCTACCTACGCCTCTACCTCTAGTTCTAGCACAGCGCTGTATCGCGCGCTGCTCAAGCAGCGTGTTGCTCAAGAAGTGAGCTACCGAACTGTCCCAAGAACTGGACTGGCCCAGCTATCTATAGCGCTGGGCCTGGCTGGTGTGCCCGTGGCCTGCAATCTGGGCCGCGAGATTGTGAGTCCAACCTACGGTCCAGGTTGCAGGAAAAAGTCCTGCTCCTCTGGTCCTGGCCTAAAACGGCCTGCCTGGGTCCCTGCTGGATGTCCAGGCCCTCCCGGCTGATGCAGCAGGGAATGTCTGCTACCAGACGAAACTGAACCTGGCCCAAAAGGGCCCAGTTGCGAACCTGCCTGAAGGAGGCCCAAATCGTGGCCCGGGTACAAACAGACCAGTAGTCTGAAACGTCGTCCTGAAAGCAGACAAAAATAGGACAGACAAAACGAGTCAGCCACAATAAATAAATAAATAAATAAATAAATAAATAAATAAATAAATGCTGCCTGAAATAAAAACCTGCGGCCTCAAAGATGGCTGTGGGCCTCCAGGTCGCGTGCCTGGAATGGCGTGCAGCCTGGGGCCCCCCAGCAACCATCCCCCCCCCAAAACGGGGCCCGTGTGCAGGCTCAGCATGTAACACTACTGGTAGGGCCGACCGGTCGGTGGGCAGTCTGCTGAGCCAACCCGTCAGCAGAGAGCCGTCTACTGTAAATCTTCGGGGCTGTACTGCGCTGAGTCGGGGTTGTGTGGGGGGGTTGAGGGGGGTATAGGAGGGGTAGAGGGAGGGATATGGGGGTGTTGGGGGGAGTTTAGGGGGGCTATGGGGGTGTGGATGGGGTTATTTGGGGTTTTGGATCCATTTTCTTTTTTTTCTTTTTTTTTCTTTTTCTTTTTTGCGGGGTGCCTACCGGTCGCCGACTGGTCGGCGCCGATGGCGCCTACCGTCAGCTGGTCGGGAGCCGACAGGTCCGGGGCCGCCGACCGTTGGGGTGACTACCCTGCATAGCACCACATAGTACCATGCCCAGCCTACATAGTACCATACCCAGCCCACGTCATGCCACACCCTGCCCTCCTAGTACCCTGTAGCACCACACCAAGTCCTCATTTTACCCCATCCAGCACACCCAACCTACATAGTATCACATAGCACCAGACTCAGCCCACATAGAGCCATGTAGTACCGCACCCTGTCAACATGGCACTTGCTAAGCACAAATACCACCACTTAGTATTGCAACCCAACTCATACATTACTACACAGTATCAGATCCAACTCTTATAACATGACATAGTACCTGACGCAACTGATTGAGTACAACATAGCTCCAAACCCAGGACACACAGTACCACATAGAACTGTACCCAGTCCACATGGTACCATAGAGCCAACACAATACCATACAGGATGATCCAGCCAGCTACAGTTGTTTGTGCGCAGTGATACAGCTGGAACACTGCCGTCCTTGAACAGGTGGAATATGTAGCACCGAACCCATGCCATATAATACTGCACCTAGCACATGTAGCTCTGTATCCAGCCCACATAGTATCACACGCAACATATATAGAAACCATGTAGTACCACACAACTGGATATAGTACTACATAGTTTCACACCCAACCCACATGGTACCACATCCACACCCAAGTTGAACCCACATGGTACCACATGTGACATAGTACCTCACCCAACCTATATAGTACCATAACCAACCCACGTCATACAACACACATACCACCTAGCACCACGTAACGCCACACCCCGTCCACATTGGACTACTTAGGTGCACGGCCAGCGAGCATGGTACCACACCCAGCCCATGGTATGACACCCAACCCACACTGTATCACACTCAACCAGGACACTTCCACGTAGTACCACACCTAACCCACAAGTACCACATCATATATTGCCACATAGTGCCCCACCCAGCTCACCTGGTATTGTATAGCACTACACCCAGCCCACCTACTATAGCGTAGTACTGCACCCAGCCCGTGTAGTACTGCACACACCACCGTATTGTCCTGCACACAACTTGCACAGTCACAAAGGAGGTCTATGGCTTAGGGTCAAGGGGTGAGGGTTTGACGAGGAAAAGTTAACAACGGGGGCTCCAGAAAGGAGTGGTTAAGAAGGTGTTAGGGGAAAGGCGTCGCCAAAGGCAACTCGAAAGAGGGGTTAATGGAGGAGTATTGAAGGGATTCAATTTGGGGTTGGGGGAAGAGGAGAGGGGTGGGATCAGTGGATGGTTAAGGAGGTGGGTTTCTGAACAAGGGTTTAAGGAGGTGGGTCAAGGGTCGAGGAGTGGGAGTTCATGAGGAGGTATCTAGTGTAGTTGTTTTTGTTTTGGATGCTCCTTTGGCAAATTGAACTTTGACTGTTTTGTGCTCATATCACCCCATTCTTTATGTTTGTGCCTGTCTCTATGTACCAGGAAAGTACCGCCCCATTAAATTCGGAAACGACTCTTTTCTTCAAGATTTGACTGACCATAACTTCGTTGACAAGACAACTGCCTTGTTGGCTGGCTGGACAGGTGTGTGTGGTTATTTAATATCTTATTTTACTTGTTTTAGTATTGCCTCTCTCAATTTTTCGTTGATTTTGTTACTCCCCCCCCCAAAAAAAAATGGTTGTTCATCATTATGAAGGACCTTATAATAATGGTTGTCTCCTTATTCGCTTGATCCTATTGTGTATTTTGACAAAAAAATTAGGATCAGGTTTGTGACCACGCATCAGGTTCAGTTTGTGGCGAGGGATCAACCTTGGGACCAGGTTTTAGATCAGGTGCGGAACAAGGGTTGTTGCTGAGGTTTGGGATTTGGGTTTGACACTAAATTTAAGACCTAGCAGGGAAACAAGTTTATGCTAAGCATGGGGACTATGCGTGGGACTAGATCCGGGGATCAGACTTGGGATTAGGATTAGACTTGGGACGGGCATTGGTATCAGGCTTGGAGCAAGGTTTAGTGTCAAGCTGAGTGCCTGGTCAGGGATCAGGTATGGTACTCACTTCAATACTAGCCTACGAAACATGTTTCGAAATAAGGTTAGGGACTGGGGGTGAGACATGGCTAGGGATCAGGCTTGGGGTCTTTCTTGCTATAACGCTTTGTATCAGCCTATTAGGCTTGGAGCTAGGTTTAGGGTCAGTTGATCTCTCTCTCTCTCTCTTTCTCTCTCTCTCTCTCTCTCTCTCTCTCTCTCTCTCTCTCTCTCTCTCTCTCTCTCTCTCTCTCTCTCTCTCTC